GATATTCAAATTTTTGTTTACAGCATTTTTTTTTTTTTTTTTGAAAAAAAATTTGCCTTCAAATCTTTAAACTCGGAATTTGTCACATCAACTTCACGATGTAATAAATAATAATAAACATAAATAGACGTGACAGTACAATAGTGCCCGCACAGTGAATTCTTCTTTCCCCTCGCCAATGCAAATATATTACAGGTCCAGGTGCTTTATGGGTTCACGTATCGTCTACATCTACACCATACAAAAGCGATCTTGTACTTTTTATTTCCCCCCAACATAGCAAAAATGCTCCACGGCCACCACGCAATTCCGGTGACTATCCCATTGTTATTCAAGTGGCCAATTGTCGTCTCATTCCGGCGGCGAGCAGCGTCGAGTGCGCGCGCGTTTCCGTTTCTCTTTCCGCTATGAAGTTACGCTCCGCCCCCATTAGCTTAAACAACCAAAAAGCGACGGCCGGCCGCGGGCGCAGCGCGGGGCAGGCGCGGCGGTCGGCCGGGGCGGCGCGCAGCCGCGACCCGCAGCCGGAGCCCACGCCGCCCGCCCCGCGCCAGCGCCGCGGACACGCTGCTGCCGCGGCGGCACCTCGGAGCGCATGCGCGTGTGGGCGGCGCCCCTGCGCCCCGGCACACGTGCGCGCGCGCCCTGCCCACGCGTGCGCGCTCGCCGCCGCCGCCTCCGCCTGCGCCTCCGCGCCGGCCGGTCCGCCCTGCGTGCGCACGCCGGGGAGCGGGGCGACGCTCGCGTCAAGTGCAGCGCCAGCACAAATCGAGTGGCGAGGCGCGTCGCGGATGACCACCACTCGAGCAAACACATGCACACGCACACACAAAACGAATAGTTTACTTCTAAGTCATACTGTCCTGCCGTTTTGTTTGGAGATAAAAACATTAGATTATACATGTGAAAATGTCAACGTCTTGCAAAAATGTACAAACTCTTTGAATGTTTGTGCCAGTAGTTCTAGCATATTTATATTACTAATTTCCAATGAACGGAAAAAATTAAAACAAAACCGAGCAGTCTCGGCTATGTGAGACGTGTCTATGGTTTCGTTACATCCCAGGGACGCAGCAAAAATCTCCAAACAGTTAAACAGTTTCGATTTTGACAGGAAAATGCAAATATTCGAGAACGTTTTATTTATTTAATTTTTATTCTTGATATGTAACACTTATTGATATGTGCACGTGTAGTGCACAATGTCGTTGGAATATTAGTAAAGACCGTTTATGTAAAAATTCTCACGTGTAACACCAAACATTCATTTTGTAGTTACACGTGAAAATTTTATTTGCTGAGCAGTGTCTCCTACTTTTTGAAAAATAAATTTTTGTGGATTTGTACGGCAACACTTTTGCTGCATGCCTTTCGTTATAACATAGGTACGTATGAATTGCTTGTTTGTTAAATTCAGGTTAAGTAAGTCACGTTCTCTATTTTATGACTTGTTTAAGTATGCACTTTCTTGGAATCCATCTCGTTTCTAAACTGCTGCAATTCTTTCGAAGGAATTCGAATATTCTGTGCGTTTGTAAGATAAGCAGTAACGATACTCGGAAAAGAATGTAAATATTAAATTATGTAGCGTGCCTTGGAGGGCAAGTGAAGTGAGTGCACATGTTATGCACATCCTGTTTCAATTCATTCATTTTTCATTGTACAGAATTCCTAACTTTTATACTATTTAATGATGTACCAGTATTAATATATTTAGTTTAGAACTCAACATGTATTTAATCTTACATTTATATTTCCAGTCCTTTTATCTGGTTACTTTATTTACATTTGAAGTATTGTCGCTTTCCCTGCATATGAAGTAACAGAATACGACAGAACTCTCTGTTGGCGTACTAGAAATTCACTTTCCTATCCTCTCCAACCAGCTGAAACTTCACCGTAACTCCTCTCGCCACCTGGCTTCGAACAAAGCCGGCGGAGCTCGGAGTTCCGGAGGCTCCGCATTATGGGGCGAACTCAGGTAGTCGCTAACTCGGCAGAACAGCGCGAGCTTAAAGAACGACAAAAGTAACGCGGACTACTTTCCGTACAGGACTCTCGCGTTCGTCTTGTCTCTTCCCCCCTCCCACTCCCACAGTCCGGTAGCGGCACAATGTCCAGGGGCGATGTCGCACGGTGGATTCCGGCGCGCGGGCCTTGAATGAGCACGCGAGCACCATGTCAATCGCGGAGGGACGCGACGGTCGTCTGCCCCTGGCGCCTGAAAAGCCGCGGGTGATTTGTGACGACCATAAAATCGGGGCCTGAAGAGCGCTCGACAGTAGCGCGCGCGCGGGGCGGCTCGTCGGCGCGGGCCGCGGTGGCCGGCGCGGGCGCGCGAGACGGAGCGGCCAGCGCGAGCGGGCCCGGCCCGGCGAGCCCCGCAGTCAGCGGCGCGGGCCACGCAACGTGCCTGCCCAGCCTGTCGCTACCAGGGCCGGATTAGGTGCAGTGGGGCCCCGAAGCATAAAAACCAGACCCCCTCCCCCCCCGGAAAAAATCTCCCTGATCTATATATTAAAAAAATATAATAGAATACTTATCCAAAGTTACATCCACATTTTTTAATACATCATAGTTTGATTAACTATTGTTTCACAAATAAACATGTTTCATGAAATTTTTCGAATATTTTATGAATTTGTTCCGATGCTTGATCTCCCACATGGATGGGACCCGCTAAGCAATTGCTTGTCTTACTTGAAAGTGAATCGGGCCCTGCTCATACAGCGTACATGGGTTTGACCGATCTGGCTACCCCTCCTCGTTGGGGCAAATGCCATAGCTCGGTGTCTGCATAGGGTGCAATGTGTTCGGTCAGCTCTACACCGATTCTTCCTTCAACAACACAAAAATAAATTGAATGGGAGAATACCTGGCGCGAAACCTTTTCAATTAGTAGACGTCTGTTCTAGATGTTCCGATGATTTATGAAGGCTTCAATAGGAGCATATTGCACTTGTCAGTACCACTGAACACAATACAGTGGGCAAATGTATATGTGAATAAAACATGGTGTCGCGGAATGATCCTTCCTTCAGAAACAAGAAATCACGACTATCCAAATTACTTAATTATGGAGTTTCCTTCTCTATCCTAAACCCTACAGCTCAGTTAAGTTGTGCCTCAAATTTTAATATTTCATTCATCTGTGTGCATACAGCTTTCACCTATTGGAAATCAAATTTAACGCGAGGAGAAGATTAGTAGAAGTGTTTTATGTAACATAATGTCCTGTTATCGTTTCTTCGTACGAGGAATCTCCTACGCACTACATAAATACCATATACTCTAAAACGTATTTCATAAACTATTTCATGTTATTTAATTCGCACTTAAGGCCTTCCTTCCGATCGCGAAAAATTCACGATAACCTTCTAATTTCAATATTATATCGGTTACGTCACACGGTAACGTTACGATTTTAAAATGAATCATAAAAATGTACCAAATATGTTCATCGCCTTCAAGTTCTATCTCACAAGCCTACTTTCTAAAGTTTCTTTTAAAAAAAGAAAACGGTACTCCTTAGGACGAATAATTGTAATTAACAGCAAATATTATCGAAATCAAATTATTAAATTGTTACGTATGAAAGTGAAACGAGAAAGAAAATTTCGTTATATATCGTAAAGAATAGTTTCTCAAGACGCTGCCCATTTCGCCCTCCCGTTCCTCCTTTCTTCGCCGGTGCCCCGCAGGGTGGCGTGGCGGCGTGTCTGCGCAGCGCGTCGTGCCGCGAGGCGCCGCTCGCTCTGAAGTGCGAAACGTCGGGGCGCCGCCTCCGCCTCCGCTTCCGCCACCGCCGCCGCCGCCGCCGCCGGCCGGCTAAGAGCCGATGTCAACAGCGGAGGAGCGGTGCGCGCGTGTCAACAGCGGGGCGCTCGCAACGCCTCCTCAACGAGGAGATTGTCGCGCGTCGCGACGCCAGCGCCTTTGAGGCGGACGCCCCCTCCCCCGCCGCCCCGCGCCGCAGCTGCCCCCTCGGCGTTCACGTTAATTGGGCGCTTCAAGTAGCTCTGCGATAATTCCAAAAGAGGAAGATTAGATGGGCACGCGATAAGACTGGATTTCCAAATAAGTTACTCTCGAAAGTAAAACAGTGGCTGTCACTAAAATGACGAATGAGCAAGTCACCTGTCATTTCAAAAATTCAATAAAATTCGCAGAAATTATTCAAAGTATATTATAAGTATTCAAAATTTTATTTCATTTGAAAAATATTTCTGTTACAGTAAGCTACATCGTTTCCGATCGCCTTTTAAGAAAGTATTGACATATAGTATGACTTGTAATTTACTGACATACGTGATGTCTTAATGGACCTTCCAGAGCTATCATGAACATATGTGTCAGGACATCGTGGGGGCGACATAGACCTCCTGTCTATGAGGTAATGTTAAGGGAGTGTCATTGAGATGAAAGTGAGCGCCTTTACGATTGGAGGAGTACGCTAGGGCGGGTCCTCTTTCGCAGTTGACGTTCGTAACGCGAATTGATCCGCTCTGAAAGTTAACACCGCGCAAAGTTCGTCTGCACGAAAGAGGCTTGGCCACACGTCACGACCGACACCTACCTATCGCGTTAGAAGAATGCAACTCTTCTCATCTACGACGAACTCGACCAAGGAAAGCAGTCATCAATGCGGCACGCACGTGGAGATGGTCTGTGCTAAGATTGACACAACTGAGAGTCAACACGACTTATCACGAACCCACTTCCTGCCCGAAACTCACCGACAAGAGGCCTGTGTCAGGACACAAACATCCATCGAGAACGACAACATGCACACGTCACGCGAGGAGCACGCTAAGCGAGCACGTTTCGAACGAAGCATCCGGCACTACACACACCAGTCCACAAGCACTTGGCACCTTCACTCTGTCGGGATGACAGCCACGTGGGTGACCACTGCACGTTAAGGCACTGCGTCCACTGGGGGGCGGCGCCGCCGGGACGCGCCGGCGGGCGACAGGGCTCACCCGCGCGGCAGGGCTCACCTGCGTCATGAGGCGGTCGGCTCCGGTCCCCTCCTCGTCCTTGAAGACGATGTCAGCGTTGTAGTTGGGCACGAGGTCCCTGAAGCGCGGGTCGTCTCTGGCGACGCGCCGCTCGGCCGGACCGGCGGCCCCTAACGTATGTTCGGACACGTTGGGCACGTGCTGCTTGAAGACGAGCGGCGTGAGGCGTCGCGACGCCAGGCGCCGGCGGCCGGCGCCCCGGCCGGGGCCGCAAGCCCTCGCGGCGCCCTGCATGAGCAGCAGCAGCAGCAGCCACCGCAGCAGCAGCGGCATCTTACAGCGCCCGCGTCCACCGCCGCCGCCACGGCATGCTCCCGACCGCACACTGTCGTCGATCGTCGTCGCCGCCGCCGCCTCCGCC